ACCGAAGCACCGTTACAACGCTCCACCGCACGCTGAAGGCGCCGTTGCGACAGGCACGCCGCCACGGCAGAAAGTGGCTCGAAACGCAACCTATGCAGGCTTCAGAGCAAATAGTATGAGCTTCACATCATTAAAATGTTTGTCTCAGCGCGTTGATAACATCAGCGAACGGGGATGGGCCGAAGGCCACGACGTCCGCCGCCCCTTTTGACACATGGATGCACGGCATGCGGAAATCCCCCACCAGCCCTTTAGGACGTGAGTGGATTAGCGAGTTCCCTCTTCCAACACCCTTCTTCCCCTTCGGGGAAGGCTTTCACTCATCCCTCCTCCGACCTCGTCCCCCTGAAACTAGAAGGGGGGGGTCGCGAGGGATTCGAGTGTCCAAGATGGCCTCGGCGAGAAGGCCAAACTCATTGGTTTTACTAAGGTTTTGGCCACATGTTGGCCTCCTTGGGGGGGACCCTGATTAGCGAGCTCCCCTCCGTTGAACAATTTCCTGCATGCCCCAAGAAGGCCCCAAGAGGTGCCCAGGAGGCCCCAAGAAGCCGCCAAGATGCCCCCAACAGGCTCCCAGCGACCCCCAAGAGGCCCAAAGAGACCCTCCAGAGGCACACAAGACGACCCAAGAGGCCTCGACGAGAAGACCAACATCGTTGATGTTACCCACCACTTTTGGCCACAGGTTGTCGTCCTGGGCCTCGCGGGAGGTCCAAATTAAGGAGCCTCCCCCCTTTGATCGATCTCCTCCTCCAATTGTGAAGGTTCGGGCAGAGCAGAACGTAAAGGGCTGGGGGTGCCCTTTCTCTCTCCTGTCCTCTTCTCCGTCTCCGTCCTCTGTCTGCCGCCCCTTTGGGCCCAACATTTTCTCGGGGCCTTCGAGGTCCCGGGCGCCTCGTGGCCCCTGGCGGCGCCGCGATAGCGCCGGGGGCCGCCGCTGGGCCAGGCGGGAAAACCCGATCCCCTATGGTCTTGGGCGCCCTGGTTGCGGCCACCATCGGGCACTGGCTGTCGCGGACCGAGGCTGCCACGCCTGGGGACGGCGACGAGCCCCTCAGCCTCTGCGGGGTGGCGCGAGGGCTGGTGGGCAGGAGCGAAGGGGAAGATGAGGCAGGCGCTGCGGGGCTGCTCTTGCACTAGCTCTGAGACGGGTCGCGGAGCCGCATGGAGTGCTCAGACCGCAGGCAGGAGAGCCCCTCCCGTCCGCGGAGGTCGAGCGGGGCGGTCGAGGACGGCAGGGAGGAGGCGACAGGGCGGCCCCCGCCCCAGCCTCCGGCCGAGGTCCCCGCGGGCGGCAAGGGGCGCCGCAGCCCACCGCGGCCGCGGCAGGATGTAGCCGAGCCCGCGCATGTGGGCGGCACCCACCAGGAGGACGATGCACGCGGGGGGCTGTCTGCGCGCCGCCGGGGCGCCGCGGAGAGGAAGCGTTCGGAGGCCGAGGACCCGCCGGCCCCCCGCGGGGAAGAGGAGGGCACCGAGGAAGGATGGTGTGGCTCTCAGCACTTGCACCTCACCTTCGTCGGGACATGGTTCGGCGGTCTCCTCCACGAGTTCGAAGTGCCGGGCTGGCAGCAGGTCATGTGGGGCGGAGGTGGCCTACTTGGTGCAGGGTACGTCGCTTTCGGAGAGAAAAGGGCCCATCGCGTCGGGCATGACTGGCGCGTTGCTGGGCGTCGGGATCGTCATCAGTATGGGGATTGGCTGCACTCGATCGCCACTGTTCTGGGCTGCCTGGTGGTCACGCTGTCGAGGTTGGTGGTGGCACTGCCAATCTGCTAATGCGGCTGCTCGGGTATTGCCCCGTGCCCAGGCCACCCCGCGCTGCGCGGCGCAGGTACGGCCACCCCCTTCGACAACGCCTTCTATGCTCAGCTGCGCGCTCGGAACGCGAAGGGGAAAGGCGCACCACCTGGTCGTCAAGATGGGCAAAACGGCAGCACGGCTGGAGCGACTAGCCCCAAACTTTGGGATGAAGTCCAAGCGGCCGGGTTGCACCTGGCAGTGCACAACGATCCTCTGGTCGGCTTGCAGGAGGTTGAGGACGCTGCTGGAGGGGTCCCAAGACAGGACGCTCCATTTGTGCCGTGAGGTTCCTTGCACGGATAGTGGCAACTACGCGGTGCGCAGGTTGCCTGGCAGGAGCTCTACTCGAGGTGTTGGGAGGAGGTCAAGAGGAGGGCCAAGGAGGTGTGGCGGGCCTGCAGTAAGGACCAGCCACGAAAGGACGACTCCCTGTTCGCAGCCCTCTCGGTGAGCCCCTTCTCGACTTGCCTGACACGTTCGAGCTGGACAACCCCGACGGCTACTACCGCACTGTAATCCCAGCCCGCTTGGAGCGCCAGGCCCAGAAGGCGTATTGGGATGGTGCTCACCGCGCGCAGCTGCGCCCTCTGGCGGCTGGCGAGGCCCCCAGAGGAGGGGATGCTGGACGTGGAGGAGGAAGCGCCGGCAGCTCGGGAACGCGCGTGGCTGGCGGGCCAGGACCGGGAAAGGGCGCTGGAGGAGGAGGCGGCTCTCGAGGAGGAGCTCCGACGGTGCAGACGGCTCTGAAGGTCCTGACCCAGGAGGAGGTTACTCGGTCGCTTGAGCACGCGCCTCGGGACTCGAAGAGGACGCCCAAGTGCTGGAAGGCCACGACCTGTACCAGGTCCCGCGCTGAGAGCATCAAGCAGGCCGAGAAGTTGCACTGGACGATGAAGGCCCAGCTCACCAAGCGCGGTGGGCTTCAAATCGGGGCAAGGGTCCCACCCGAAGCTCGAGTGGCGAAGGAGCAGAAGCTGATGGCGGAGGCTTGAAAAGGAGCAGCAGGGCAAGATCAATGAGGGCGTCGAGCAGGCGAGGCAGCGCTCACGTCGCGGTGCGGGTGTCGAGCTGAGTGCGCTCGCGGAGTACCTGGAGGTGAGCTGCACCGCTTGGGAGGACGAGCTGCAGCAATGCACCTCGGGGCCGAGCCTGGACTGGCGAGCAGACCATGCCGCGAGGGAGGCCGTGGTCCAGCCCGAGGAGCTGCCCTCCGGCATGCCAGGGGCCGCGCACGCGCGCGCTCGGGCGGCCAGGGAGGTGGACGCCCCGTCGGCAGTCGGGAGATCTCGGATGCGCCGCCACGGCGACGGTCTCATTGCCGCGGACGTCTGATGAGGAAGCGAATGTCAGGTGTGAACCCTTCGCTCGAGGTGGCTCGGGGATGAGGAGCTCGCGGAGCAGGCGAGGCCGTGCCAACTCCAGAGGATGGACGGAGCGCGTCGGAGGACAAGTCCAGGAGCCCGAGGTCTGCACGACGAGGATTTGGTGGGGCGTTGACGCGGAACCCGGGTTGGCACGGGCCAATATCAAGGGAAAATTGTGAGAGGTGCTAAACTACCGAGACCGACTGCCGATCACCGAGGATTTGACCATGCGTATTGAGGGCGTACGCCCAGGAGAGCTGGAGGAGCGACACCGCCGCGGCCCACCTGGGCGCCCACCTCGAGCGTCGAGCCAGCGTGGAGGAAGTCATGGAGGAGGCCCAGAAATGCAGGTTGGCGCTGTGGAAGGACGCCAAGGAGGCAGAGACCTACATGGGTGACGCCGACGCGTACATCACCATCACTGAATCGGATGTGCGGATGTTCAGCCACGACGCCGTGAAACTCGGACACGACAAGGACTAACTACCGTTGCTTGGCGGCGTTCCAAACAGTGGCCCTTCGGCGGGTTACAGTGCATGTGGCGAGTGCGGATTCGTGGGGCTGGGCGAAATTGGAGGTTGTCGTGGGCGAGGGCTACGACGCCAAGGACAGGATGGACATCTGATTGCTGCTGATGAGCGGGCACCTGAAGATCACCGCGGGCCACCCGCCCGCGGAGGTGTCAGCGGAAGGGTGGGGGCTCTACCTCCGAGGCACCACGAAGGATGGTCAAGTGCTGCCCCAGGTGCTGAGCCGAGGCAGCCGACCACTAAGATGACAAGGCTGGCGAGGAGGTACGGAGCGAGGACCCGCGGCGAGGGCCCTGAAGAACCGGAGGAAACCCAGCTTGGCGTCGCTACGAGGAGGAGGGCACCGCGCAATCACGTCACCTGCACATCCACACTGGGCCTGGAGGCGCACGAGTGCGAAGGAGGTCTGGGCAGGCACGCAGGGCTGGTCCAGCGAGATGGGCAAGCGAGGGGTCGAGGCCGGCGAGGCGGTGGGTATCCTCGAGGACCCGGAGGCCAGGAAGGGGGGCTTGCCAGGAGCAGGACACGAGGCGGCGTGGGGTACAAGAGGCGCTCCTGCAGGAAGCTCGGGCAGGGATGCACTGGTACTGGTGGCTGGGTTTCGAGTGCAGCAGTTTCTCGCCCTGGATGCGCAGGAACTGCGGAACGCGGACCAACGAGCGGCCCGAGGGGACCTGCTCCTCCTCCTCCTCCCTCCTCCTCCTCCTCCTCCCCATGTTGCCTACTCCTGCTGCCACCTTCGCCCTTTCCGTTTCCTCCTTCTCCTGAAAAAAAAGACGACGCACGACGGTGATCAGGAACGAAGCGGAAAGGGTAGGGGAGAAGGAGCTGGGGGGCGTACGAGACACTCAAAGTGCGATCCATTGTTAGCCCCGGAGGAGGGCCCGCTTCCAACCCGAGAAGGGCCCGATGCCAGCCCGCCGTGGCCCCCAATGCAAACCCGAGGAGGGGCCACTGCCAACCGCCACGACCCCCACTGCCAACACACTACCGAACCCACTGCCAATCCACTACCAACCCACTGCCAGCTGGAGTGCACATCGCGTATGTAAGAGCTCACCGTTTGAGGTCCACGCTAACGCATTGTGGTTTACCCCCTCTCAAATGGGTCTGCACCCTTTGGCGAGGGAGACAAGCAAACCGTGTTGCTTGCGACTTAAAACAACTCTGTGGAAAAACGAGGACATGCAAATCTGGCTCAAAGATAGGAGTCACTACGGATTAAAACCGTTGCTGTTGCCATCGCCGTGCCCGTCGCCTCAGGTTCCCATGGTGCTCTGGGCACTCCCTCTCTTGCAGTCTTCTAGAAGCTACCGGTTCTCTGTCTGAGTGTCGGCACGTCGCCATCACATGCAGCATCCATCGATGACTCGTCGATCGTGTGCAGACTTCTCGAGACCTTCTGCGGGACGCTCTGCCAAGGCATGCGAAGCTTCGACACCCCAATCATCTTCATGTACACGGTCGGATTGAAACAGTCCGATTCCTCGCCCGAATCACGTGGCTCAGCCGCGGGGCCATCGACCGAAAGCTCTGCACTCTCCGCCAGCAGGAACGTAGATCCGTTCCTGGAAAACCGCATCGCCCCAAATTGGATGTCCGCCGCCACCTCCTCGCCGTCCCCGTACTCTCTTTGATTCACGAGCTCCTGGCAGCCCCGCTGGATCCCGTCCAGAACCTCCTTCGGCAACCAGTCCTTCAGGCGGGGCGCCCGGTGCCCGACCTCGAAGCGCAGCAGCATGTCCTCCACGCGCAGACCCCTGCTCGTGGAGTTAATCCGCAGGCAGACGGACGAGACGCAGCCCGCCTCCCGCGCGCAGCTCCCCGCGGACGAGGAGGACGCCCTCGAGGACGACGAGACGGAGCTGCGGGACGTCCGGCCGGCGTGGGCCACCGCTGCACGCGCCCTCCCGTGCGCCCGCGCCACTGCGGGGCCGACGTGGGCCTGCTCGCCCGCCAGCGGTGCCAACGCCGGGGCCAACGACCTCGGGCCCAGCTGGGCAGCGCCGACCCGGACTGCGTCGGGACCAGGCTCGCGCGCCGTCTCCGCCGCCGCCACCAGCTGCAGCGCCACGGTGCCCGGGGCGTCCGTACAGGCCTCCCGCGGCAGAGCCTCTCGTGTGCGAAGCACATCTCCGCATCCGCGGCCTCGCGGGCCGAGCCCCTGGACCCCGCGGAGACAGGGCGTTTTTGTCACAAATGCTCCGCGCGGAACGTATCCGTACGACAACGCATCCACGGGATTTCTCCCCCCCCCCCCGGGAATCCAAGCCGCGAGGGTGCGGATACGGACATGTTCGCCGCTCGTGAGCCTCGCAGGTCTCCCGGATCCCCATCAGGAACTCGGGGGCACCCTTGACGTCGGCAACGTAGGTCAAGAAAAGCTCCACGGGGACCGGGTGCGCGCCCACCCCCTTGCGCAGGGACACCTGGATGGAGGTGGCGGGACTGATGGTGCATTTGCCCGAGTTCGGGTCCTCGGCCATCGAGGCGGCGACGCCGTTGGGCGAGAAGTCTTCCGACTGCAGCACCGCCGCCGCCGAGATGAAGTCCTGGAAGCGCTGCTGGTCAGACTCCCAAACGTACCGAAGGAAATTGCATCCATGAAGAGAATTTGTTATACCTCTTCTCCCGTCTTCCGAGCCCAGCAAGTGCAATAGGTGTGGGGAATGGGAGATGATGTTACAGTTTGGGCAGATGTGCAGGTGAGCGTCGCAGAACACACCGAGCAATCGCTGAACTGCCCGATACGCCATGCCAGACTGGCTGGACTCTATGTACGCCTTGACCCGGTCCTTCTCGCAAAGCTCCAGGGATATCGAGGCGCAACAGATCATCAAACAAGTAACCACCTCAATCGTAGAATGATGGACGAAAGCTGCCATGGAAGAGGTTCCGTCAGCGCGAAGCTCCTCGCGCCGAGTCCAGAAAGTGAAGCACGTCACTGCAGAAAGGAACATATTCCATCTCACTGTCGTCTTGCAATCAAGTGTCCAGGCAGCGAGACACCCTCGTGAGGCGCTCCACAATCCGCTGTACATGAGAATTCGGTGTGTGTCCTCTATGTGGGTTCGAACTGCCATGAGCGCCATGAACATCTTATACATGCACTCTATGTCCACGGCGGAAAATCCAGATGAAGTTCTCAAGTACTTCCAGCAAAATGATGCCCAGTGACGCCCACACATGAACAACGCCCTGACAAGGACCTCCCAGTCGGAGGCACTCGTGGCATGCATGCAGATCACCAGCGGCAAAAATATCAAGGAAAGGGGTATCAGAACTGCGTCCAACACATACTGTGCACGCGCCACTCTTGCCTTGTTAAAACCGTGTAAGACCCTGGAATCGAACGACGTGCCAAGACCAAGGGACGAGAAAGGCGTTCGAATCGCCCTCCTCAGTGCGCACAGCGAGGCTACACAATCGTCATATCCAAGCCAAACATGTGCTGCCAACGTGCAGCAACTTACGGAAATACAGCTGCGCACGACGATAGTGGCAAAATACTCTTGCTGCGCCGCCTCGAGAAAGGACAACAAAAACATCCCACCACAGACAAATCGCACACGGGAGTGCTCTCGATGTCAGCTGGGCCCGATCGCGCCCGATGGACCGTAAGTTGGAGGCGGCCGGGGGGTCTGGACTGGTTGGGACCCCAGAGAATCGGTCAGGAGGGGGATGAGGCCGAATCTGCTCGAAATCCGTTCTTCACGGCGGGGCCCGAAAACGGCCCCTCGAGGCCGGAAAAGGTACACAACCGCCACCCAGGACCTCGAACCTGCCCGCCGTTCCTGATGGCCGGGGCCAAGGCTGCGCCACCTCAGACCCCCGGCCGGCTCCAACACTCAAGCACGCGCCTTCGCCGCTGCCCCACAATTCCTCGAGCCACCGACGGCCGCGGAAGGGGTGCGATGCCCTCATCCTCCTCCTCCTCCTCCTCCTCCTCCTCCTCCTCCTCCTCCTCCTCCTCTTTCGAATTCCTCCTCCGCCTCCTTCCTCTCCTCCTCCTCCTCCTCCTCCTCCTCCTCCTCCTCCTCCTCCTCCTCCTCCTCCTCACGTTCGTCTCCTCCTCCTCCTCCTCCACCTCCTCCTCTCCTCCTCCTCCTCGTATGTTTCCTCCCCTCCTTCTCCTCCTCCTCCTTCTCCTCCTCCTCCTCCTCCTCTTGTCGCCCAAGAGCGGTGTCTCGTTCCCTGAGGCCTGATTGATCGAAGGTCCCCACGGCCTCCCAAACCGAATCCTCATCCTCCTCACTTTCTGCTCATCCTTATCCTCCTCACTTCCTTCTCCTCCTTCTACTCCTCCTCCTCCTCCTCCTCCTCATCCTCACTTTCTTTTCCTCCTCCTCCTCCACCTCCTCCTCAAGTTCGTCTCCACCTCCTCTTTACTTTCTTCTCCTCCTCCTCCTCCTCCTCCTTCTCCTCCTCCTCACTTCCTCCTCCTCTCCTCCTCCTCCTCCTCCTTTTCTTCTCCTCCTCACTTTCTTCTCTCCTCCTCCTCCTCCTCCTCCTCCTCCTCCTCCTCCTCCACTTCATGATCCTCCTCACTTTCTCCTCCTTCTCCTTCTGCTCCTTCTTCTCCTCACTGATTGTTCCTCCTCCCATCCTCCTGCTCCACCTCCTCGTCCTCCTCCTCCTCCTCCTTACTTTCTCCCCCTCCTCCTCTCCTCCTCCTCCTCCTCCTCCTCCTCCCTCCTCCTTCTCCTTCTCCTCCTCCTCCTCCTCCTCCTCTCTCTCTCCTCCCCTCCTCCTCATCCTCCTCATCCTCCCTCTCATCCTCCTCTTCACGTTTTTCTCCTCCTCATCCTCATCCTTCTTCTCCTCCTCCTCACTTTCTTCTCCTCCTCCTCCTCCTCCTCCTCCTCCTCCTCCCCCTCCTCCTCCTCCTCCGTCTCCTCCCTTGCTTATCCTCCTCCTCCTCTTCCTCCTCCGCCTCCTCACCACTTCCTTTTCCTCATCAATTTCTCATCATGCTCCTCTTCCTCCTCCTCAACCTCCTCACGGAAATACCCTCCTCTTCCTTCTCCTCCTCCTCCTCCTCACGTTCTCCCTCCTCCTCCTCCTCCTCCTCCTCCTCCTTCTTTCTCCTCACTGTCTCATCCTCCTCGTCCTCCTCCGTCCTCCTCCTCCTCCTCCTCCTCCTCATCATCACCATCATCACCATCATCATCAGCATCATCAGCATCATCATCCTCACGGTATTGGCAGCAGAGTCCCCCTCCTCCTCCTCCGCCTTCTCCTCACGCTCATAGAAGTATCTTCCTTACTGTCTCTCCCTCCTCCTCCTCACGTTCTCCTCCTCCTCCTCCTCCTCCTCATCATCATCATCATCATCATCATCATCAGCATCATCATCTTCCTCCGCCTCCTCCACCTCACGTTCTCCTCCTCCTCATCCTCCTCCTCCTCTTCACTTCATATTCCTCCTCCTCCGCTTATTCCCTCTCCGCCTCCACCCCTTCCTACGTTCTTCTCCTCCTCCGCCTCCTCCTTACTTCCTCCTTTTCCTGCTCCTTACTTTCTCCTCCTCCTTATTCTCCTCACGTCCATCTCCTCCTCCTCCTCCTGCTCCTCCTACTCTCCTCCTTCCTCCTCCTCCTCTTCCTCCTCCTCCTCACGTCCTCCTCATCCTCCTCCTTCTCCTCCTCCTCCTCCTTATCCTCCTCCTCAATGGCTTATCCTCCTCTTCTTTCTCCTCCTCGTCCATTGTTCCTCCTCACGTGTTCCTCCTCATGTTCGTATCACCCTCCCCCTCCTCCTCCTCCTCCTCGCCCTCCTCCTCCTCCTCGCCCTCCTCCTCCTCACGTTCGTCTCCCCTCCTCCTCCGCCTCCTCCTCTCCATCCTCCTCCTCCTCCGCCTGCGCCTCCTCCTCCTCCTCCTCCTCCTCCGCCTCCTCCTCCTCGCCCTCAACATATTCCGCCTCCTTCCCCTCCCCCTCCTCCTCCTGCTCCTTCTCCTCCTCCTCCTCTTCCTCCTCATCCACACGACCTCCTCTTCCTCCACCTCCTCCCCCTCATCTTCCACCTCCTCCCCTCCTCCTTATCATCATCATCCTCAGCATCATCAGCAGCAGCATCATCATCAGCATCATCAGTGTCATCGTCATCAGCATCGTCATCACAATCATCATCAACATCACCAGCACCATCATCTGCATCATAACCAAAATCACCAGCAGCATCAGCATCAACATCATCAACATCATACTCGTCATCAGCATCACCATCATCAGCATCATCAACCTCACCACCACCATCATCATCAGCATCATCAACATCAGCATCAGCATCATCATCGTAATCGTCATCATCAGCATCATCACCACCATCATCATCACCATCATCAACATCAGCATTATCATCATCATCACTGCCATCCGCAGCATCCTCATCTTCATCCTCATCCTCATCATCAGCATCAGCATCATCACTGTCGCCTCCGCCTCCTCCTCCTCCTCCTCCCCATCCTCCTCCTCCTCCTCCTCCTACTCCTCCTCCTCCTCCTCCGCCTCCTCCTCCTCCCTCCCCTCCTCCTCCTCCTCCTCATCATCATCATCATCCCTCCTCCTCCTCCTCTCTCCTCCCCTCCTCCTCCTCCTCCTCCCCTCCTCCTCCTCCTCCTCCTCCTCCTCCTCCTCCTCCTCCTCCTCCTCCTCCTCCTCATCATCATCTCATCATCATCCCCCTCCTCCTCCTCCTCCTCCTCCTCCTCCTCCTCCTCCTCCTCCTCCTCCTCCTCCTCCTCCCTCTCTCCTTCTCCTCCTCCTCCTCATCCACATTGTCTTAGCATCGTCCTCCTCCTCCTCCTCCTCCTCCTCATCATCATCATCATCATCCCCTCCTTCTCCTTCTCCTCCTCCCCCTCCACAATTTCGTCCTCCTCCTCACGTTCTCCTCCTCCTCCTCCTCCTCCTCCTCCTCCTCCTCCTCCTCCCAAGTGTCGTATCATCAAGAGGCCCCGAAGACACCCCAAGGTAGCCCCAAGAGGCCCCCACGAGGCTCCCAAGCGGCCCCCAAGAGCCTCCCAAGAGGCCCCCAAACTACCCTCAACAGGCCCCCGAGAGTGCTCGTCGTCGTCGTCGTCGTCGCCGTCGTCGTCGTCGTCGTCGTCGTCGCCATTCAGGGTAGGCAGCACCAGCCGTAAGGCCTTCGCAATAATGAAGGCGAACTAAGCGGTCGCCGCCAGGGAACCAAGCAAAGCAAGCCAACCGCGAAAAGTCGGCCTGTGTCCCGTGACAGTGAGCAGCGGTGTGCTCCACAAATTGATATACCAGATGTGTTTGTTCAATCGGAACGCCCTTGGCCCTTCAAGCACAGCGTGCCCGCAGCAGCGCTGGGAACCTTGCAGCATCGGTGCTTGGCTCATGTCGTTCAGAAAGGCGCCCTTGCCCCAGCGTGGGGCACTGTCTGGCGTGTCCTTTCTCTGCTTGTCGTCCCCATCATTTAGCTTACGTCTTCTTCCCCTGATCCCCCCTGCTCCTCCAATCCTTATTCGTTATTCGTATCTACTCATCTACTCCGATTGAAACATGTAGCTGGTATATCGCAACCCCATCTGGGTGGTTCCAGCCCACTCATCACAAAACAATGCAAAGTCAAAGTCTCACTTTCGGCATGAACGCTTCGTCGTCGACGTTGCAGAATGCGTGGCGGGCATGGGGCGGACCGCACATCGCACACCCACGGGCGAAATGTCTCTGTCGCTGCGGCGCCGCGCTCACTCTTCCTGAGAATCGAGTTCCCTCGTGGGCGCGTCGCACCCTCGTCGCCTGCCAATTCTTCGACGCGCGAGCGGACGAACGTGTCGCTCGCGCTCCGGCGCCGCGCACCTCTCGCCCGACTGAAGCGCTGCCGCCTCAGGCGCGGCGCCTATCTCTCACTCGCCAGGTCGTTGGGGGAGGGGCCGCGCGCGAGCGGGCGGCCTGCCGCCCGCGCCCGGGTTCCGCTCGAGTCTCGCCCAGAAGCAGCGCTCCCGCGCAGGCGCGCTGCCTGCCTCGCTCGCCGTGCCGCGCGAGGGCGGCAGCGGCAGCGGGGCCGCCCGAGGGCGGGCGAGCGGGCGAGCCGCGCAGCTCGCGCGTGAACGTAGCAGTGCGGTTCCGGAACGACGCAAGCTTCGCACTTCGCTACGCTCACCAGAGCAGACCGCCCCAAAGAAGACTGCATGGCGTTCTTTGCCGCAGCGCCGCGCAGCGCCGCGCAGCGATGTTCTCGATTTCCCCGCCTCGCCACGTCGTCGGAGGCGGGGCCGCGCGCGAGCGCCTTTCGCCATTTAGGTGGGAACGAGTTCCTGTCCCCACGCCAAGCTGCGCCACCATGGACTCCCGCATGGGAGGGATGGTGGGCACGGGCGGGGCCCGCTGACTCGCTCGACTTGGTTAGCTTGACTCCCACCACTTACGATCCTGCTCCTGGTCCTCCTCGTCCTCCTCCTGCTCCCCATTCCGCCCCCCTCATCATCATCATCATCATCATCATCATCATCATCATCATCATCATCATCATCATCATCATCATCATCATCATCATCATCATCATCATCATCATCATCATCATCATCATCATCATCATCATCATCATCATCATCATCCTCATCCTCATCCTCATCATCCTCATCCTCATCCTCATCCTCATCCTCATCCTCATCCTCATCCTCATCCTCATCCTCATCCTCATGCTTCTTCATCTAAACACCCTGCCCCCCCGCATATAAATGCCTTCCCCCTTCTGGCACCGCGGCAACCAATGGGCCCCATGCTTTAAGATCGAGTTGCGGGTCAAGGTCCTCTAGGACATCCGCGTCGGCGCATATGAAAACATTCAAATCAATGAAAGGGGATGGGTAGGAACAGTACGATATCATATTTGGCACGTGCGTTCCTAGCTTGTCACCCCCTCCCTTCACTCTACTTCCCTCGTCCCCCCTTCTCCTCCTCCCCTCCTTCCCATCGCATCACTCTTACCCCCAGCCATGCACAACCCTGGCACCCCTGCGGCTCGAGCGCTGAAAACCGACACATAGCATTCGAATCGAAAAACAAAATACCCCGACCAATCATGAACATCCTCCGAATCCGTCCTGCTCCTCCTCCTCCTCCTCCTCCTCCTCCTCCTCCTCCTCCTCCTCCTCCTCCTCCTCCCCCCCATCAAAAGCACAGGAACTGTGGTATGCACTTAGTGCGATTGCAGCCGTGGCCATTCGGCGGAGGGAGATAACAATAAACTGCACATCAACGCGTTGAACACACCGCCAGAACGACCCTGTCGGACCATCCTTCACAGAGAAGAACTGGCCATGGTTGCTGCCGAACTGGTCGCACATCGCTGCCGTTATGTCTGTCTTCCTGCCCCTCGCCGTCGCTGGCCACAGCACGGATGGCGGCGAGCGAAGATCAAGAGAGACTACTTCTCTTCGTCTGCTGTGTAGACAGAGGACAGGAAACGCATAGAAATCGGCGAATGAACGAACGGGAGTATCTAATCAAGCAACGGCCAGCGGGCGGAACCATTGGTAAAGCAACGAGCAACTAAAGTGACCTGTCTCCGAAGATGCAAGTCCGATAAGAAAATCACAAGAGAAAATAACAAGAATCGACCAAGAAACCGGGACACGGTGCTAGCCCTTGGAATTGAAACCAATAACGTCACAACCATCAAAATCGATACCACCATCGACGAGGCAGGAGGGAGGGACGCGGGAAGAAGCGGGAGGGGAAGGCAAGACGGAAGAAGGAACGAGGATGGACGAGGAAGGATGATGATGAGGAAGTGCGGGGGATGAGGGGGAGGAAAACTGAGCATAGCGAATGAGGAGGCAATAGGGGGGATGAGGAAGGAGGACGACGGAGGAGGGACGGAAAACAGAAAAGGACGAGGGTGACGGGATGGAGGACAAGGCGGGAGGAGGGAGGGTGGGGGGATGAGGGAAAACGCAGGAAAGAGGAGGGAGGGATGATAACGAGGAGTAGGATTATTGCGACTGTGACGGGGGTGAAAAGGCGTGTGAGACGTTTGGCTGTCCCTCTTGGGGGGTGGGTGGGTGGGTGAGGGTACGAGTTCCTCAACGCCTCCCGTGGCCTCCCCGCATCCTCCAGGGGCCACAAAACGGCCCGCGAGGGTCCAAACAGAGCGCAGAGACAGTCCAAGAGAGCGTCGAGACGGCTTAGGCTAACCCCGCGACGGTTCAAGATGACTTCAAGACAGCCCACAAGCCCCCAGAAAAGCCCAATAGTGCTCCCAGAGGACCGCCGAGAGGGCCACAAGACGCAACAAATCGCCCCAGTCCGGTCCCTCGGTCCCTCTGGAAGACGTACATGTTCGATATGATTTCGCCTTTCTCGTCTTCGCAACGACCAATACGGCCTGAGGACCCCCACGGCCCATGAGGCCCCCAAGAGGTCCCAAAGACAGACCCAAGAAGGCCCAAGAAGGCCCCTAAGACGGCCCACGAGGGCCCCAACAGAGGCCCAGGACCCAGGAGGGGCAATACGAAGTGACATCTCGAGCCTCCCCCCCCCTCATGGCACCAAGCCCTGGCGAGAACTGGAATGTGCGGGCGGTGAACGCGAAGCGCCTTGAATAGCGTCATTGCGACTGTGACGATGATGAGGACGAGGGGGAAGAGAGGCAGGAGGAGAGAGGGAAGGAGGCAGGCATGCGATGGGGGAGGCAAATGACGGGACGGAAGAATGGAAGGACTGGGGCGGAGCGGAGGCGGAGGATGGGGAGGTGAGTGGGGACCATGGCTCTGTAGCTGCTGTCTCAGCCGCGATGGGCCGCTGGGGCCCCGCCAAGTGCCTTCGGGCCAACGAGACTGCGAACGGCAGAGGGCACACCCAACGGCACCTCGGGACAGCCACGCCAGCGACCCCTTCGGGTGCGAAAGCGCTCGCAGCGCCCGCAGCCCGCCCTCGGCGGTTCGGCGCCCTCGCAGGCCACGCCGCGGCCTGCACGACATTCTCTCCATGTCCCGGCTCGCGCCCCGACCCCACGAGGGCCGGAGCGGGGACGTGGATCCGCCGACCCCCGTTGCCGGGGGTGCAAATGGGGCCTCCAGGCTCCTCAGCGCTCCCCGGGGGCCTCCAGAGCCTCCGTGTCTGCACTCCTTGGCCTCCAAGATGCTCACGATTTCATCTAAGCTCGCCCAAGAACTCGAACTGAGCACTCCGCCCCAGGAGGACCCCCGAGACCGCTGGCACGCGCCCAACAGACGCCCAGGAGGCTCGAAGAGGCCTTGAAGAGAACCAAAAGATGCCCCAGTCGGCCCCTCAAACGGATTCCAAAAGGCAAAAGGCTTCACCGGTGGACTTCGTTTCTCTTCTGGGGGTCGGCGGAATGGCGTGAGCCACTGAAATAAACTCCTGGCTTCCCTGCGCTTGCCGCCCAGAGTGGGGCCCAGAGTGGTGCGCAGCAGCAGGAGTACGGAGCGCACGTCGATCGCCGACCCCGTCCCCGTCCCCTCAGCTTGTGCGTCGTCATGCACGCGTTGAATTCCCACAGCTTGATGCCCGAGCAGCACTCGCCGTGGCTCTTGTGGACCATGTTCGCGAAGTGCATCCGCTGCTGCTCCGACACGGCGTTGCCTGGAGCAGAAGTCTGCTTGGAATTCACATCTCCAATGCCCGCTCGCCCTTTCCTCCTCGTCATTTCCATTGTCCTCCTGCCTAATTCCTCCTCCTCCTCCTCTCCCTCCTCCTCCTCCTCCTCCTCCTCCTCCTCCTCCTCCTCCTCCTCCTTCATTCCTTTTGCTTGTAAATAACTCCTCCCTTTCGCACCCCAAGGCCGGTCGAAAGGGCGGGCCGAGCGTTTCGCCTGAGAGTTCCTCACCACTTATGACCCTGAAGCATAAGAATACAGCAGTTTCACGCATGGAGGGTGGGTAGTTTTCCAAATGAGGCTCTCTCGCCTTAGCGCCGCGCACATTCGTCCAAACAAAATGCAGGAGTTGAACGGATTGAGGGCGGGTGGTTTTCCAAATGTGGCTCTCGCAGTAGCGCCGCGCACACTCGCTTTTAACATTTGCAAGAGATTCACGAATTGAGGGTGGTTGGTTTTCGAAATGTGGCTCTCGCCTTAGCGCTGCGCGCACACTTTTAAAGCACATTTGCAAGAGTTTCACGGATTGAGGGCGGTTCGCTTTCCAAATGTTGCTCTCGCCTTGGCGCCACGTGCATTAAACATTGCAGGAGTTTCACGGATTCCCATGGTCAACGTACCAGACATGGTGTTTTGGAAAGATTCAGGATTGCCAGGGTGCAACAAGTACGTTGATTCGTGGTTGAACTCTCAAGAACGGCGTTCTGACACGACTCAAAATCATCAAGACGCAACAGTCAGGTTGATCCGTGGCGTTGGAGTCCCGAGAACGGTGTTTTGGCGTGCTTCAGGGCCTTCAAACGGTTGTCTCCCAACGAGGCAGTCAGTTCCCTCAGTGGAAATGAACCCCTGTAGGGGCCTATCAAGAGGGAGCTTGGAGGGACGGTGTATTACAAGATGGTTGATGAGTCTTGAGTTTGCACTGATCCTCCTCCTCCTCCTCCTCCTCCTCCTCCTCCTCCTCCTTCTCCTCCCGCCACCTTCCCCAAGCCCGAGGAGCGAGGAAGAGAGTGGAAGCAGGGAGAAGACAGGATGCAGGGAGAAGGCAGGACGAAGTGGAGGAGGGATGCAGGACGGATGAGAGGGAGAGGAGGGAGAGGAGCGGGGAAGGAGGGAGGGAAGCGGAGGGAGGAGAGGAGGCAGGGGGCAAGAGACAGAGAGAGGAGAGGAGGATGAGGAGGACGACGACGCCAAGGAGGAAGAGGGCTATGAGGGGGAGCGGCAGGTGCACTGTGCAGGAGAAAGACGAGGAGCACCAGCATGACGACGGCTGAAGTAGATGAACGTGCACTGGGAAGAACACCTACTTCACACACATTCTTCGTATTTCCAAAAAACAGTGCTTGCACTTAGGGGTTCTGGTTGCCTGGTCAGGCGCCCATGTGGCCACCGTCGCCGCCCCGTCGCCGTCTCGTCGCCGCCGGTCGTCTGGGTCGGTTGGCCGGTCAGGCGGCTATGTGGTCGCCGTCGCCGCCCCGTCGCCGCCTCGTCGCCGCCCGTCATCTGGGCCTGTCAGTCGGTCGCCGCGCTTGCTGCTGCCGTCGCCGCCCCACATAGATTGCACGACATCCGCCACCGTGCCTCTGGGCACGGAATGGGCGTCCTTACCTCGATCTTGAAGGTACCTAAAGGGGCCCGGACACCGAATTCATAAATCTCCTGGGGCTTGCCCGGGTCTCCTGCCTGGGGTTCCCCGCGCTCCTTTTTCAGGCCCCAGAAGGCCCCAGGACGGGCCACAAGAGGGCCCCAAGAAGCCCCCAAGACGGTCAAAGACGGCCCTGAGACGCCCAAAGATCGCACCAAGAAAAAGGGGCCGAAGAGAGGGAAGACGAACCGAAAATCCGAGCCTTCTGCCCCTAGAGGCTCCCAGGAGGCCTCAAGAGGCCTCAAGAGGCCCCCACGAGGCCCTCAGAGGCCCCCCAGGGCCCCAAAAGAGGCTCCAAGAGACCCCAAAACGGCCCCAAGGGGGCCTCTAAACTGCCTCCAAGAGGCCCCCGGCAGGCCTACCATGAGATCCCAACGAACATCCAATAAGCTTCTTACTCACGACCCAGGCACGGTGGCGGGATGGGCCGAAGGCCATCATATCCGCCGCCCCCTGCTTGCAGGGGTGCACGGCGTGCTGGATGATTCAGGTAAACGGTTTTGGTTTTGGTTCTTTTTCTAAAAGAACTCCCCAGTGGGCTTCGGCCCGTCCCGCCGGCCACCCGTAAATTTTCCAAAATGCGTCTGTCAATGCCCAAAAACGGCCGTTTCGCTCGGGACATCCTCAACAAATCGCGAAGATGGCCCAAGATGGCCTCCAAGTCCGCCCGAGATGGTCCAAGACGGCCTCCAAAACGGCCCAAGAGAGTCCAAGACGGCCCAAGACGGCCCAAGAGGCCCCCCAGAGGCCTCCCAGACGGCCCAAGAGGCCTCCAAGAGGTCCTCCAGGAGAGTCCGAAGAGGCCAAAATCATTGATTTTCCCTTGGTTTTTGAAGGATTTTGGCATTTGCGCCTTTTCGGCTCTCCGACGGCTCAAGACGGCCCAAGAAGCCCCCAAGATCGCCCAAGAGGCCCCCAAGAGCCCCATGATGGCCCAAGCCCATAGTGGCTCCCAGATGCCCTGAGAGGCCCAATGAGGGATGCAGGGTAAGAAGAGAGGGGGGAAACAAAAGAGATGATAGAGGTAAAGCTGGGTGAAACGCTATGAGGAGGGGGAGGAGGAGAGGGAAGAAGCCGAGGAA